AGGAGAGAAAGCATCTTCTGCCTGTTGCTCCAGAAGTGGACACCCCGACTGCTGTCCTGGCTTCTCTAACCGCAGGCTGGGCCCTGGCCTGGCTGGGCCATGTTCCGCCTGTCCATGGGAGTAGAGGACAAGTTATCTGTCCCTGCCTCTGTCTCTGGCTTCCTCCACTCCTAGCTCTGGCAATGATTGCCCCTTTATCTGCCTTAATCAGAGCTCTGAAACACTATTTTTCATTCCTCCCCTTTCTGCTAATTAACTGCAGCCTATTAATTAGTGCTATTGGACTCCCCACTCCCATAAACCCCGTTTGCTAACGGTGCCTTGGCTCCCCGGGTTCTGCTAAGTATGTGACTGTGCCTTAGTGGAGCCGCCTCTCCCTGAGAAGTGATTACAGATCTTGGCTGTGCTGACCCCCCTGCCACAGCTGCCCAGAGAGGCCACAGCTTGGCCGGATGCTTCATCTTGATTAGCCCTTAGCTTCTTCCCTCCTCGTCTCTCTCTCTCTGACATTGCTGAGGCCTGGCACTAAACTGTAGGTTAAAATCCCTCTTGATAGCGAGCATTGAGCTCTTTTCTCCTTATTCCTGCACCCCCTGGCACTGCTCTAGGTCGTGGAGAGCTGTGCTTTGGGACAGAGGGGCCAAGGTGATCTCCCCCTCAGACACAGTGAGTCTCCCACGGTGACCTGGATCGGCTTGCTTCCCATCACTTGACCTCATTAGAGATCCGTGATTTGGTGTGTGCTATCCCTTTAACCCTCAGCTCTGATGTCAGCTCCCTTTTTGTTTACTTGGCTTTTGTGTGAAATTCTAAGTCCTCTAAGCCCTCCTTTACCCCTTTGCCACCCCACCCAGCCTTCTTACCCTCATTCCCACGAGTCTCCCCCAGACCAGCTCTCCCAGCAGTGGTCGCTCCAGTGCTCCACTCACTTCCCTGTTCTGAGAAGGCCCTTATTTCTCCTTCTTGACTCCTCTTTCCTCTGGGATTCCCTCCTTATCCCAAATGCACGCGCGCGCACACACACACACACACTCACACACACACACACACACACAGCTCAAGCTATGCCTGGGATGTGGGAAGGAAGTGATCCCTTTTTTTAGTAATAGTCCAGGCCTTGTTAGAAACTGCAGGGGAAGTGGCTGAGTTCTTGGTCGAGGGACTGCAGTCTCCCATGATGATGGTAAAAACAGCTACCACGGCCAGGCTCGGTGGCTCAGATTGTAATCCCAGCACTTTGGGAGGCCGAGGCGAGTGAATTGCCTGAGCCCACGGCTTCGAGACCCCCCCGGGCAACTTGGCAAGACCTCGTCTCTACAATAAATCAGAAAAATTGAGCCAGGTGTGGTAGCGCGTGCCTGTAGTTCTGGCTACTTGGAAGGCTGAGGCAGAAGGATCCCTGGATCCCAGCAGGTCGAGGCTGCAGTGGCCGGGAGCGTGCCACTGCACTCCAGTCT